TGATTCATTATTTTTTATTACTTGATTAAAGACTCCGATATCATATCACACAATCAACTCTTCCGTAAACTTAAGTCATTAGATTAATAATATATTTTATTATGTTTCTCTCTTTCTTTATGGCTAACAAGTTTTCGTTTTCATTCCCCGAAAGACTCCATCTTTCATTAAATTAAAAAAAGCACATCTTATCCCTATTTTAAGGGAAATTACAATCACTAAATAGGTTAAGATAATTTTGCGTTTAAATCTAATGGAGATGTTGACAGGGTGCCACTCACCGGCTCACCCATATTTTAGACGTTAACTCCACTGCTGCAGACAATATGAGCTGTTAATATAGTACTGAAACGGGAAAAGACAATATATATATATATATATATATAGGTAGGATCATTTGACACCAGTGTCAAATTTTAAATTTAACACCTTATCTGATAGTTGTTAGATCAAAAAAGATCAATGGTATCAGATGCTTACAAATCAGAGTCGTTGATCTTTTTTGATCTAACGGCTATCAGATGAGGTGTCAAAAGATCCTATATATATATATATATATATATATATATATATGAGGTAGGACCTCATCTCAGAACCGTTTGATCAAAAAAAATTAATGGTGTCACATGCTTTCAAATCAGAGTTATTGATTTTTTTATGCCAGATTTTGACTCACTAGGGGGCCTTACATGGAGGCCTTATGGTATGCCTATATTTGACTCAATGGAGGCCTTACATATATAAATTAGGTTCCCAAATTTAATTCCATGTTTTTATGGATCTTGGGAAAAAATGAAGAACAATGCATGTGATAAATAGGTATGGAGTGTTCTTAATTTTGTTTCTATGTAATGATACACTAGTTATGAACCTGCCTATGACCTTATCACTAGGGGGTCGGTGGTAAGTAAGAATACCAAGCTAAGGACCCTTCCCCTAGAAAAACACACGACTCATCTGCTTTTATTAGTCAAGAAAGGTGTGATAACAACCTTAGAAGCTACGAGCCTACCATTGGGGAAACCAACAAGGGGAGATGCATGCTACCCGTGTCATGAGCGTGCTCATTCTACTAATCCTTAAACATTAGTTTCCATGCTTGGAACTTGGAAGTCGATGCTTTTTTTTGTATTTGGCTTTAATTATTATCGTTTTGACCCTTTATGATTCCTAGCTTCTTGTCTGGTTCAAAGGGTTTATTTCACTTTTAAAAACACTCCTCAATAATATATGTCTATTTTTGTGTAAAAAAATTACAAACACAATTAGTTTACGACTAAATGACCATTGTCTTTTAAGTTAGTTTTTTTTTTCAAACCAAGAGATGTCTTACATTTTAGGTATAGAATTAATATTGGGAGAATTGCCCCCAATGAGTCCAAGTGTGCTTGAACTGAATTAAACCAGGTTGAATAATAAATAAAAAAATGACTTTGGCTATTGGTTACAAGTAACGGTGTAAATGGGCCAGACTAGGTCAGATTTTGTCTTTCATGGCCTAAGCTTATGTAAAAATATGTTAAGTCTATCTGGACTTTTAGCCTATTAAAGGCTTGATTAATAAGTCAGACCAGGTCTATTGTTGAAAAATAAAAAATCTAACATAGCCTATAGGCCTACTAGATCTATCAATTATGATATATTTATAAGATAAATATGCGACTTAGGATAGATAAATAATATTTATGATAATTGATAAATATATTATTTTATTTAAAAAATTAAATAGGTCGACCTACGGGCTTTAATGCCAGACTATTACTTAGTTTGTTATGGCCTATTTTTTAAAAAGACTAATATATAAGCCTAAGCCTAATCTAATTCTCCGATAGGCCAGGCCAGACTTAGCATAGGCTAAGCTGTGGGTTCCTGTAATCCTATCTGGCTCATTTACACTCCTAGTTATAAGGTGTCTTTCACAAGTTTTAAACTATAGATGAAGTAAATTAGCATAAAATTCGATTTGTTAATCAAGCAATATCTCAAAATTATGTCAAGCAAATTTTGAAAGCATAAAATAGAGATTTATTCTTAGTTTATTGCTATTGTTCTCTTCATATATATATATATATATATATATATATATATATATATATATATATATATATATATATATATATATATATGAGGTAGGATCTTTTGATACCGGTGTCAAATTTGAAATTTGACACCTCATTTGAGAGTCGTTGATCTTTTTTTATCTAACGGCTCTCAAATGAGGTGTCAAATTTCAAATTTGACACCGTTGTAAAGGATCCTATCTCTCTCTCTATATATATAGAGAGAGAGAGAGTATATATATATATATATATATATATATATATATATATATATATAGAGATAGGATCTTTTGACACCGGTGTCAAATTTTAAGTTTGACACCTCATCTGAGAGCCGTTAGATTGAAAAGGATCAATGGTGTCACATGCTTATAAATCAGAGTCGTTGATCTTTTTCGATCTAACGACTCTCAGATGAGGTGTCAAACTTTAAATTTGACACTGGTGTTAAAGGATCCTGCCTCATATATATATATATATATATATATATATATATATATATATATATATATATATATTGGAACTTGGGACGAAAAACTATCTAATACAATATAAACTTAAGTGATAATATAACTTTAGCGATGGATGAACTATCAATGAGCAGGGTTCGAATCTTGGAGAAGATATTTGAGGACAAAGCTTGATAATTATCTGCTGCTCGATTTAGAATTAGTCTTATATTTGTATGAGTCCCTTTTTCTGCCCGACTTAGGGGAATATTATAGGACTTGACTCACTCCAAAGAGATAATTAAAATCATAAAATCCAAAAAAAAAAAAATCTTATTCAAAGTGAACTTTAATTATTTTTTAAATTTGTTTGTTCCTATTTAATTAACAACAGTTTTGCAAGACATCTTACTTGGTAATTTAGTTTAATAATTTCTTGGGATATAATATTTTACCTATATTTTTTCTTGCCTATCGATATCTTACTTACTCATCTTCAATATCAGTAGATTAAAATCTCACTCTTTTTATCTCCTATTGAGATTCTAATCCAATGATATTAAATATGAGTAGCTAAGGTAGATAAAAAAAAAAATAGAATAACTTATCCCTAATTTCAATTATTTGAAAATCAATTTAATTAAAACCTAAACCAAAGGAACCCTATACCAGTTTGGCAACAAGAAAAATTATCGATTGTCACAGCAATCATTGGCGAGCCGGATCCTCAATCTTGTATAGCTTGTATAAGTTATGCAATCTCTTAAATGAAATGAAAGGTGAAGACTGTTTAGTTAACCTGAAAACCTCCAACAAATATTCGTTTTATTTTTATTTATTTTATTTTATTAAAAATGGCAGTGAGAATAAGTTACTTCAGAACTATTGACCAGGTGTTCGACCCACACAATTTCACTTAAAGATTAACTCCACAGATTTCTTACTGAAAATTAAGAAGCTCCCAACTAATCTTTGGTTGCTAAAGAAATTGGTAAGAAATCTCTTGGAAGATATATGAATGTCTATCAAGGCGATTTACTAATTGAATGATGCATTCGAACCATTTAGAGAATCATAATCGGGCCCTTCAATCAGTTGATCCAGCTCCCATTAGTAACATAACATTTTTTTTTTTGGTATCCAGTAACATAACATTTTATTCTGATTACTTCCGGTCGAAATAAGTAAATATATCCATAACCATATTAAGAAAAAAAAAATATAAATATTTTTTGGCTAATATATCATCATAGGTGTAATATCCATCATAATCCATGATACACTGACATTTGCAAAGTAACTAGTGAATGTATTATATTGGGAAAAATAACAGCAATTTCTCTTCCCTTAAATCTGTTATGAATGGTTAAACACAAGTAAAATAATTTTTCCAGCAACAGTATGTAAGAAATCAAAATAAACAATACAAACCAATTTTAACATAAAACCTCCTCAATATTAGGAGTACAAATCAAGAGATCGATTTCGCAATTCACCTAAATTCTCCAATTTAAATAAAAATGAGACTACAAATTGTTCAACGATAGCTACAAACAACTAGAGCATCAATAATCAACTTGAACACAAGTTGTACCAAATGACAAGAGGTACGCATACAATTGCAGCTTTTGGTTGAAATTAATTTCAAAAACCACAAAACTCTACCAAAAAATCCCAACAATTATAGCTTTTTTTCTATACTACCTTTTTTGTTTTAAATTTTTTGCTTTCGTGCAAACTCCGATCCACTTATCTATGTCTTGTATCATTTGTAATCATGTGTAAATTTCAGAAGTGCTGCAAAAACATGTTTAAAAGTAGTATGTAAACATGATTAGTCAGTTCTTTTCTTTTAAAGAAAGTCAAAAGAAATTAAACAAAATAAAAACTGACTGCCTTAAGGCTTGTTTGGTTTGTTTTAAAATTTTATTTTCAAATAATATGATTTTATTAATAATTATAAAAAAAAATTATCTTGTTTTCATCTCCTCTCTTATTTCAAATTGTGTTTTATCATTTCATTATCAAAACTTAACAACAACAACAACAAAAACTTTCACCAAAATAAAAAAACTTAACAAAAAACAGAGTAAAGATCAGGTATCATTTTTGCACTTATTAATAAACACATATCAATTTATTAAAACAAAATATAAACTAGAAAATAAAATCAGAGAACAAATAAACTGAACACCATACAAGTTTGTAATATTTTGATAATTTCGGTCAGATTGTTTATGATTATACATGATACCATAACATTCCTCAGAGCATTGAACCATTTCAAATCTTTTCAAAAAAATAGAAGAGAAAAATAAACCAAGACAAAGGGCAATTGGATTTATCAATTGGAATTATTCAAAGAAAGAAATACTGAACTTGTACAACAGATAATTAAGGCCTCCACAACGGGTCCATAAGCACTTGAAAATTAAAAGATTGAACAGGTACCAAAAAATGAAAAAAATGTTGAACAATTTGAAAAACATTTTTAAACAACAAGTCGGTAGGTAACATATCTGCCAGCAGTCTCACTTGACCTAATTATCTTTATAACTTGTCCATGTTGCAGTCCATAGTATTTGGAAACAGGGTCATTCGCCTGGATTCTAGGTAGCTGAGAAGCACCCCATGATATTAGGGATAAATTAGTGTTAGTAAGTGTAGAAATTTGAACGTAGATTTTATTTTTGAGATGCAATATGCTTGCAAGACCTAAGAAATTTGTAAGTATATATATATATATATAAGAAGTTTATATTTACAAACTCTTACAAACTATACTATGTCTGACCGATCATACACTAATCAAGAGTGTATGACCAGTCATACTTAGTGTAATTTGTAAAATAAATTTGTAAATGAATCCTTTCATATATATATATATATATATATATATATGAGACAGGATCATTTGACACCGGTGTCAAAAAAAAAGTTTGACACCTCATCTGAGAGCCGTTAGATTAAAAAAAATCAACGATTCTGATTTGTAAGCATGTGACACCATTGATTTTTTTTAATCTAACGGCTCTCATACGAGGTGTCAAACTTTTTCTTTGACACCGGTGTCAAAGGATCCTGCCTCTATATATATATATATATATATATATATATATATATATATATAAAACTTATTAAACGTAAAAGATTGACTACAATGTGCAAGATATAAAAATGAGTGATATGAATGCAACAGAAAAAAAAATAGTTATGTAACAAAAACAGAGATGTTATTCTCTATAAAAAAAAATTAGCTATGCTAAAATCATCTATTATATGAATGGAGGTGTTAAGAGTTAATGTTCACCACAAGAACTTATAGTTCTAAATAAATAAATTCAAAAGCTCCTAGGACAATCACAAATATGAGAAAGAAAAACTTAATTGGAGGGAATAAACGATGATGATGCTTCAGTTAAATGAAAAAAAATGGAAGCTAATACTAGTTTTCCAAATTATATTATTTGGCACCTTATCCAAGTTAGGTTCAGAAACTAGATTGCACTCAAGTACGCAACATGTTGCTTCTACACATTAGTACAGTGAAACAGGTACTATCAAGTATCAATTTCCGTGATAATTTTACTCCAACAAGCAGGTTTTAACTTATTATGATTTTTTTTTTGAGATAACCCAACCCTAATTACCTCTTCAAGGTGAGTTGGCTTCCTCCGCTATTTTCATAAATTTTAATTCTTTGAGCCTACTATGAGACTAATCCGAAGAGCGGGACGGATCAGGAATGAAGATATTTAAATTTCTCCTAAAAGTGACATGTGTGGATCGAATAGAGGCCCTTTCCTTCCACTTCCTCAGCTCCTTTACCCCTAACTGAGCTACCACTGTTTAGTTTCTAACTTACTATGATAGTTCCCTTTTGAGGGTAGGAATAAGAAAATATTTTTAAAAGAGTCTCATTCTTGGAAGAAAACTACTCGTTCTCCTTTAGACAATAAAAAAAGAAGAAGGGGAAACGTTCATAAACACTCCTCAGGTTTACTCTTTTATCACTTATATCTCTATGCTTTTTTTATTATTGTTGGGATAAGTTTTAAATTAAATAAAAGAAAATAGAAAATGAAAGGTTTATGGTGAAGAGGTGTGTCCCTAGGTATCTGTTAGTGGACAATTAATATGTTTAGATTTCCTATGTTAGTCATTATCACCCTTAATCATTTGCTATTGCTTATAAATAGCACATTGTAACTCTTGTAAAATAGCTTGGCAGAATCAGTAATGAAATAGAGGTATATTCAGAGAATTTCCTGTGTATTTGTGTGTGGAGCACCAGTTATAGGGCCTGTGAAATAACAAATTGGTATCAGAGCTTGAGCCAATGAAAAATATGAGTAATAGTCTGCTAGTGACCTGCCTGACAAAGGTGAACTATGAAAACTGGAGCATCCAAATGAAGGCTAATCTAAAAGCCTATGTCAGTTGGGGGTTGTGCAAAATGGGTTCGTAGAACCTGAATCAACGGAAGGATATTCAACAAATCAACTCAAGCAGTTGAGTGCGTCGACAACAAAGAATGCAGCGGCACTCTTTATGATGTTTCAAGCTGTTGAAGAAAGCGGTGGTCTTGAAAAGAGTGGAGGCGCAACAACGGCAATGGAGGCCTGGGATATATTGGAGACGGTCTACAAAGGTGCGGACCGTGTGAAGCAGGTCAGACTTCAAACCCTTCGAGGAAAGTTGGAGAGGATGAAGATGAAGGAAACCGAAGGAGTGTCGGACTTCATCACCAGGGTTCAGACCGTAGTGAACCAGTTGAAACGGAATGGAGAGGTGTTGACCGACTCCAGAGTTATTGAAAAGATTCTGAGGTCATTGACAGACAACTTCGAAAACGTGGTATGTGTGATTTAGGAGTCTAAGGACTTGGCTACGCTTTCTGTTGAAGAGCTAGCTGGTTCTCTTGAAGCGTATGAGCAGCGCAAGAAGAAAAAGAAGGAGGAGTCTCTTCAGCAAGCACTCCATACAAAAGCAACAATTAAGGATGAAAAGGTGTTGTACTCTCGGAATGTCCGAGGTAGAGGTCATGGACGAGGTGGACGTGGAAATTGACGAGGTGGTCGTGGCCGAGGTCAGGAAGTGAAACATGAAGAAAGAGCTGAGACGAGTCAGTAAAACTGGAGAGGTAGAGGACGTGGCCGAGGTGGAAGAGGCCGGTGGTCGAATCAAAGTAATATAGAATGTTATAAGTGTGGCAAGTATGGTCACTACGCAAAAGATTGCAACTCGGACAGATGCTAAAACTGTGGCCGAGTCGGGCATTTTGTTAAAGATTGCCAAGATGAAAGAAGAGTTGACGAGACTTCAAACTTCGCTGCAGAAGCAGAAATAAGATATGGAGGAGTTCTTATGTTAGCCCATGATGAAACTAGCTCGAAGAGTGAAACAGAGTGGTACTTGGACGCTGGTGCCAGTAATCACATGTGTGGTTACAAACATTTGAACAAAGAGTTGAGAACGATAGAAGCTGGACATGTCTCTTTTGGAGACGCGTCCAAAATTGATGTGAAAGGACGTGGTACGATCTGCTTTCTACAAAAGGATGGACGGGTTGGAACAATTCGGGATGTGTACTATGTGAACGAGCTCAAAAGTAACATTTTGTGCATTGGAGTGTTGATGGAGAAAGGTTACTCGGTTCTAATGACAGACCGAGTTCTACTATTGAAAGATAAACAAGGGTGTCTGATAGCCCGAGTTCAGATGGAAAAGAACATAATGTACAAGCTGAGTTTGAGGATCTTGGAGGTCGGCTGTCTGCAAGCCGAGGTGGAGGATAACATGTCTCTGTGGCATCGACGGTTTGGACACCTTCATTACGGTGGTCTAGCCGAGTTGATGAAGAAGAACATGGTAGTGGGACTGACAAAGATAAATTCTGAAAGAGATTTCTGTGAAGACTGTGTGCTGGGTAAGCACGCAAGAAGCCCGTTCCAAAGGATGGCAAGATACCGGGCTAAGCAGCCTCTGGAGTTTATACGTACCGACCTATGTGGACCCATAACTCCGGGGTCCTTCAGTGGAAAGAGATACTTTTTTCCGTTTATTATTGATCTCAGTCGTAAGACTTGGGTATATTTTCTGAAGGAGAAGTCTGAGGTGCTAGAGGCCTTTAAGAGGTTTAAAGTGATGATAGAAAATACAACCGGGAGATACATCAAGTCGGTTCATTCTGACCGAGGTGGCGAGTACGTTTCAACTGCCTTTAAAAGGTATTGTGAAGAACACGAGATAAGACGGTTCCTGACCGCGCCGTACACACCACAGCAAAACGGAGTTGCTGAAAGAAAGAACTGGACTATCTTGGATATGGTGCGTTCTATGTTAAAGACTAAGAATATGCCTAAGGAGTTTTGGGGAGAAGCCGTACAATGTGTTGTGTACGTGCAGAATAGATGTCTGCATTCAAGTATGAATGATAAAACCCCACAGGAAGCATGGAATGGTCTAAAGCCATCACTGGCTCATTTCAAGATTTTTGGTAGTGTTGCATATGCACACATACCGGACCAGCTCAGAACGAAGCTTGAAGATAAGAGTAAGAAGTTTGTGTTTATTGGATATGATGAGAAGACGAAGGGATACAAGTTTTTGGATCCCGTCAATAAAAGGGTGTTGGTAAGCCGAGATGTGAAAGTGAATGAAGAAGATGAATGGGACTAGAATAGTATATGCGAGGTCAATGTGGAACCCAGAAATATATCAATTGAGGTCGGACAACCTTCGACCCATATCTCGGAAAATCCTGAAGTCTCTGATGATGAAGAAGAGCAAAGACAACTGAAAATGAGAAGCTTGCAAGACTTGTATGACTCAACTAACGAAGCACATCTCGTTTGCTTGTTAGCAGATTCTGAGGATTTGAGCTTTGAGGAAGCTGTCCGAAATGAAAAATGGCAATCTGCCATGGAAGAAGAGAGAAAAGCTATTGAGCAAAATAAGACATGGGAGTTAGCCGAGCTACCAAAAGGAAGTCGGCTCATCGGTGTGAAGTGGGTATATAAGAAGAAGATGAATGCTAAAGGGGAGATTGAGCGATTCAAAGCCTGGCTAGTAGCAAAGGGGTACAAGCAGAAAGCTGGAATAGACTATGACGAGGTGTTTTCACCCGTAGTAAGGATGGAGACAATCAGGTTGTTGATCTCACATGCAGTCCAGCTTGGATGGCCTATCTATCAGATGTATGCGAAATCGGCGTTCTTAAACGGTGTACTTGAGGAGGAGGTATATCTCGAACAACCTCCGGGTTTCATGAAAGTTGGACAAGAAAGAAAAGTGTTAAGGCTGAAGAAGGCTTTGTATGGGCTGAAGCAGGCACCGCGGGCTTGGAATACCCGTATTGACTCTTATTTCAAGAAGGACGGATTTGAGCAATATCCATATGAACATGCCCTGTATGTGAAGAAGAAAGAAGGTAATATTTTACTGGTTGCTTTATATGTTGATGATCTAATACTCTTGGGAAATGATGAAGGGATGATACAAGACTTCAAGAAGAAAATGACAAAAAGAGTTCGAGATGACGGATCTCAGTCTGATGAGATACTTCCTTGGTCTGGAATTCAGACAAGACAAATCCGGGATCTTCGTATCTCAAGAAGCTTATGCAAAAGATATCCTAAAGAGGTTCAAAATGATAGATTGCAATCCGGTTTCAACTCCTATGGAACCCGGCTTAAAACTTTCGAAGTATGATGGAGGAGAAAGAGTTGATCCGAGTAATTACCGGAGTCTAGTAGGATGTTTGAGGTATTTAACTTGTATGAGGCCAGACTTGTGTCTAAGTGTTGGGATTATAAGCCGGTTCATGGAAGATCCGGGCTACACACATTGGAAGGCAGCAAAGAGGATATTGAGATATGTTCAAGGAACAATCTCGCAAGGACTTCATTATTCAAAGTCAGACAAGTACAAGCTGGTGGGATATTCAGATAGCGACTGGTGTAGAGATGTTGATGACAGGAAGAGCACGGCTGGCTATGAGTTTTTCATGGGAAACATGACATTCACGTGGGTGTCAAAGAAGGAACCCATTGTGACTCTATCTACATGCGAAGCCGAGTACATTGCTGCATCCTGGTGCGTTTGTCACGCAATGTGGCTGAGGAATCTATTGAGTAAATTGGAGCAAGAACAAGTCGGCCCAACCGAGATCCGGGTTGACAACAAGTCTACAATCGAGTTAGCAAAGAACCCGGTCAACCATGAGAGGAGTAAGCATATTGATGTCAGGTTTCATTTCATCCGGGATCAAGTCAAGGAAGGAAAGGTGGAGCTCACTCCTGTTGCAAGCCGAGATCAAGTGGATGACATATTTACGAAGCCCTTGCCAACGTTGCTACTAGAAAATTTCAAGAAGAAGATTGGGATGAAAGATGGTCGAAGAATTTAAAGCTTATGGGGGAGTTTTGTTGGGATAAGTTTTAAATTAAATAAAAGAAAATAGAAAATGAAAGGTTTATGGTGAAGAGGTGTGTCCCTAGGTATCTGTTAGTGGACAATTAATATGTTTAGATTTCCTATGTTAGTCATTATCACCCTTAATCATTTGCTATTGCTTATAAATAGCACACTGTAACTCTTGTAAAATAGCTTAATCAGTAATGAAATAGAGGTATATTAAGAGAATTGCCTGTGTATTTGTGTGTGGAGCACTAGTTATAAGGCCTGTGAAATAACAGTTATCAAGTACACCTTGTGATTTTTTCCATCTAAATCCACTTTTAACATTATTAGTAATTAAACTAACTTGCATATTTTATGTTTAGAGTTTTGCCTAAAATAATATAAGAATAATTAGATACTAGTTCGATCAACATGAGAGAAAGAGAGAGATAAATGCAAAACCTGAACTGGTTTGTGCATAAGCTGGTATTATAGCACTCCGTATCAATAAATCTTTTTTCTTGATGCTATAAAAATAGATCTTGCACTTCTAACAGAACCAAATTTGTCATACACATCAATATAAGCAGTGGCTAGAACTAATGAAATGGCAAACCCGTTTCTTAAAGTGAAAGCATGACTAGAGTTCTTGTAGTTGCACACTCTTTGACCAGACTAAGGATTGTAATCTCATTTGGAAACATACCCTCCCCTAGCATTTTGACAAACAATCTCACAACTTCATTTAAATTACTCCAATGAATGTAGGCTGCAATCATTGCAGTCCATGAAATGATACTAGCCCCAGATTTAAAATTTAAACCACTCCCCGTTAAACCCGACTAGCGAGTGTGGGGTGGAGGAAATCTTTGTACGCAGCCTTACCCTTACATAATTGCAAAGAGGCTGTTTCCTGGATTCAAACTCATGACCTTTCAGTCATGAAGGAACAGTTTTACCACTGTTCCTGGATTGGAAACATACTAGCCCCAGATAAAACATCAAAAAGCCTTCTTGCATAAGTTAAAATTTTACACTTAACATACAAATCCATCAAAGCAGTACTTAGAGGAACATCTGATTTCCCAAAATTCCTATTCCTCATTACATAAGCATGCATCGCCTTCCCCAATTTCATATCAACAAGTTCTGCACAGACATGAATGATGCTTATCATTGCAATTTCACTAGGCCTAACTCCAATAACATGCATATCTCTCAAAAGATCCAATGCTTCAGCAAGCATCCCACTCTTATCATAGCTCCTAATCATAGTACTCCAAGAAACAACATATTTGTTCTCAATCTTATCAAATAATAGGCGTGCAGACGCCATGTTTTCAACCTCACTGTACATCATGATTAGCGCATTACACACAAATACATCCAAATGAAATCCATTTTTCACCACAAAACCAAGGTAAAATTTTAAGACCGCATGCTTTGAGAATCGAAGGTATAATAAAATTGTCCACTTCAGTATCTGTTTTACGCATATAAGAATAGATTTTCACTGCATCTTCAGGGCAGTTGTTTTCTTGATGTAATATGTTATTAGGAAGCTGTAAAGTGCTACATTGCTAGAATGGGACTCAAGTGCAGGAAAAGGGACTTGATAACTGCAATTGGAACAGGTTTTGATGAAGTGGCCATGTAGCTGTTGTGTTTCATCAATGTTGATATTCAGTTCATGTTGAATGGGAGGCACTTAAAATAGAGGTAAAATTGGCAAGTTAGTTTAATTACTAACAGCGTTAAAAAGTGGATTTGGATGGAAAAATCACAAGAGGATAGAAAAAAAACATAGGAATGTAAGTGATAAAAGAATAAGGGTTTTATTAATCTCCTTTTACATAAGATACGTATCTTATGTTGTAGAGAGAAACTAGGTGGGTCCCACCATTACAAGAAAAAAGAAAAAGAAAAAAAAAAGTGAGGTGCGGAAATCGAAGTAAGAGAAAATGAGATAAGCTACCTCATGTAAAAGGAGATTAATATATCCCCGGGTTTATGAACTTTTCCCAAAAAAAAAAAAAAAAAAAAACAACACACTTCATAAATTTTTAAGGAGCTCTTGATCAATCTCTAGGAAATATATCTAACTACAAGATTTTATTTTGCATTATGCAATCTTAGGATTCCAAAACAAGTCAGCATCAAAACTCATAAAATGTAAACCTATAATTTGGCATCCGACGGTCTTATCATATATCTAAAATGACACCAAGATTTTTAAACACTAAAAATGAATGAATACAATATGATAATGTTGAGAAATAAGTCCTGATGGCGAATAATTAAGTTTGAGAAATCAATATAGAAAATGCTAACATAATATTGAAATTTGACATACTGACCTGATTTTCTTTTACAGCATATCTCTCAAGCAGAGTTTTCTTTTCTGAGTCTGTCAGTATCTGATGTTTAGGGACTAGAACATGCTCGGTTACGTTCATCATCAATTCTGACTCCTGTATCAACAATGATTCCCAAAAACTATAAATATATACACAAAGGATTAAGATAAATAAAAGCATAAAGATGCCATAACATGATTTCTAGCCATTTAAGTAAAAAGCATTAAAAATAAAAAACTGATGAAATAGTTATAATATATATCTCCTCTGAATATTGTCAACCATAAAGATTGAAAGTATAAACCGTATATGCAATGTTAAGTAAGAACTTATGAAGCAGCTCCTCAGATAAAGCATTGTGTTTATCTATAAGTGTCCAAAACTAAAACTAGACAACGTAAAGGAAAAACAAAGTTGTATAATACAAAACAAAGGGCTTGGTTAAAATCTTAATTCAATGATAAAAATGAGAACTTTCATCACTGAAAATGATTTAATGTTGTTGTTTAATACCTACCAAATCAAAATTTAAGTGCAAAAGAACCTAAAGCATTCGGCATATGGAATGTCAATGAATACGTTCAACAGTTACCCTAGTATTTCATTAATATACCTCATTATCTAAAATTATTTGGTGACAATAGTTTCTGTTCTGGAATGATATGTTAAGCTCCATGCTCAAAAGATCCAATAGGCTCAGTCTCACATTCTTCACCATAAAGAAAGCATCTTCAAGAAGGGTTCTTACTCAACAAAGTCTACATTATACCTTTGTCATGCTACTTCTTCAATTTTTCTAAAATGGCATATCCAGCCACCTCCATCAACCTCCAATAAGAAGACTTTGTCGCCTTACCCACTTGTTGGAAACAATAAGGGGCATCCTTCAGAGCTGGTCATTCCCCCACTATAAATACTAGAGTTCTAAACACAAGATGATATCTTCTCCTATAAACTTAAACTTGATTGAACGAATTTTGACTTGAATGTCAGAGTATCTTGTAGGTACATATCCCACCTTATTCCATTGAAAACCCATAGGTAGAGTTGCATCAAATCACCAATAAAGAGAGCTTCATCAATCATGGTCAGCCCATAATCATCCCAGATAGATCATTGGCATCATATGTGGGAAAGGTAAACTTCAATTCTCTCACTAGGGTATGATCCCGCAGACTTCTTTTCATGGGTATTTACATCCGCAAATTCTCAATGTCACCAAGGTATGATCCCGTAGACATTTTTTCATGGGAATAAACATCTCATAAATTTACAAAGTTATTAGGTACGATCTAGCAAAGTTCTCACACTGCGAACTTTCAAAGTCATCCTACAAACTTTCAAAGTCATCAGGGTAAGATCCCACAGACTTCTTTTCATAGGAATAAACATCCCACAAATTTGCAAAGTCATTAGGGTAAGATCCCGCAAATTTCTTTTCATTGGGATATAGACCCCGTGAACTTTCAAAGTCAACCCGTGCACTTTCATAGTTATCAGAGTATGATCTCCCATACTTCTTTCAAAGGGGATATACATCCGCAAATTTTCAAAATCACCAGGGAATGATCCCGCGGACTTCTTTTCATGGGGATATACATCCCGTAAACTTTTAAAGTCATCAGGGTATCCTCCAAACTTTTTTTTTGTGACAATATACATATTGAAAATGTTTCGCATCCCGTTGAAATTATATACATCCCGAAAACATTTTGTACATCTTGCAGAAAGTAGTATCAATAGCAACATCAACGACACGTTAATCTTAAACTAGTTAGGGTCGATGGGAGATAAACTCAAATGAAAATTACGAAAAATCTGAGAAAAAAATGATAAAAATAATATATATATATATATATATATATATATATATATATATAACATTATCATTTAAAAAATAGAACCAAAAAATTAAAAGGTAAAAAAAATTAAAATAAAAAGGAAATAAAGATACACAAGATGACAAAAAAGAATAATAAAGTAGAAATAAAAAATAAAAAATAAAGAATACAAAGATAAAAAAATAAAGAAAAAAGCAAATACATAAATAAATAAAGGAAGAAAGATTGAAAGGAAAAAAAATAAAAAAGGAAGAGAAAATGTAGAGAAAAAAAAAACATAGAGGTATGTAAAGAAAGAAACGGAGATAAAGGGAAAAAAGACTAAAATATTTTTTACATCCTGCAAAAAGTAGATATACATCCCGAAAATGTTATGATCCCATGAAATTTTTTGATCTAGTATATTGTTGGGTTTTTCTCTTTAATGAAAGGCCAATTTGGTCTAATGTGTAAGAAGAGCCCAAAAAATATAGAGCTCATTTAGCTTAGGGCTAGGGTTTCTTAGAACCCATATATATTCTACATTTATAGTCATCAGCTTCTCTAGTATTCACTTGGTATTTGTAGAGACTGATGTAAGGTCATCTCTCTGAAAGCAAGAGAGTGCCCACACACTTCCTATTTTTCCTTGAGATATAGTCTGGAAGATTTACCACTGTCCAACTTCAAGGAGGTTGTTCGTGTTGCGGCGCTAAGGTGAGTAGTTTGTGAAGATGAATCATACATGGAAAGATTCTGCACGAGATCTGTGCACCAAGAAGTAAATCAGTAAAACGATGATGATCTGTTTGCATCCTAAACTGTAATGGTCTAAAATGCTTCCGCTGATCCAATAATTCCTACAATTGGTATCAAAGCTGGATTGCATGTTTAGATGTCGATCTAGTTTTGATTTACAATTTTCATGTAATTAGTTAGCATCGTGAAATATGGCACCTAGGTTTCTATATTTGTTATTATATATTGGCATGTGTATCCTTTATAATTCTTTTTATAAAAATCAATGCTTTTATTTGGTTTTTGGCTTTAATCCATGGTAGAGATTTGGTTGTATTTTCTAGGGTTGTAATAAGGAGGCTAATCCCTTATGATTAGGTTTCCTCCTTGATTTTATATTTTAATTTTTTATATATACTTTTGTTGTATTACAAAATTGTACTGAAAGAAGACTAAGAAGATGCAAAAAGAAGACATTCATGGCTATTTTGTACTTGTTTGTGGTGAATACGACCTCCGATCAAAAATTTGAGACCTTAGAAAGATTCAGAACGAAAAATCGAGTCAAACAAAAGTTGAATCGCCAAAGTGGAGGCCGGACGCTCCCTCACTCTCCACTAGAAGTCTTTGCGAGTGGGCTTCACTCTCCGGGGAAGATATGGCAGGCGGGAGCGTGTTCTAGCTTCGTTTGGGACGATTCTGGTGGTCGTGGCTTCGTCTCATCAAGGTGGTCCTTCTTGTAAAATTTTGTATCAATTGAACCTCATACGGAGGCGCAGTAGTCGTAACGGCTAGGGTTTTCGAGAAAGAGGTTAGGTTTTCTTGTCAGTTTATGGTATTTTGGGCCTTTAAGCCCATGGTTGCCAAAAAGGCTTGAACCAAAACCTTATGGACCCAGAAAGAAGAAGGAAAAGAATAGTGCAAGTCAGAGAATATTTTGGCCATCAAATATTGACTTGTAATTTTATTTTATTTTTCTCTAGGAAACCATGCATTAAAGTTCATTTTATAATTGCTTTATTTTTATGAATGAATGAATTGTATGATTGATAACATGCTTGATGTGATAACATGGCACATGGAGTAGGTGGTGTCATATTGTTGCATAACTTGTAAATTACATGAGCATAGTAGCTGTTATGTCTTCAATGACTAGTATGATAGTTATTATGAGATTATTTTAATTTTATATTATCCAAAAAAATTAATTAATAATTATTATATTTTTGTTAAAAATCTAGATTAATAATTGAATTAATTAATTTTGGAAAATTAAAATCAAGACAGATGATCTAGAAAATTTCCTAAGAGAACTATTCATTTTGTGAGTAATTTGGGGGTCTTCTAAAATGGTTATGTGCTAAACACACACTGCATACCATAATCATGTATCATGATTGTGTGAAGCACAAGCTGCCTATCATGATCGAATTTTAGAACCTTCATGATTTCAAAATTTTGATAAGCTAAGCGATGCACGTTCATCGGCGCGCGTGCTTACATAATTTTTGAAATCAAACACAGGTTACTCTTAATTAAACAATTCTTGAGAATTGAAAAAAATTGCTTATGTTGAATGGGAGGATATTTAAATTAAGAAATTCATTTAACCTCCAAGCACATTGTAGGACCATTAATAAAATAATTATGTGAAGCCCGAACAAATAAACACGACTGGATTTTATTTGATTAAGCCTTAATAATTTCAAAATTTTAATAAAATATTGTCCGGCCCAATGTCGGCAATACCAAGTTATTAAAGACAATTTTAAAATTAACAATGAATTCGAAAGAGATTATGAAAATTCTCAAATAAATTATTGAATGGGTAAAGGTTTTAAAATTAATTAATTAACTTTAAAACCTGCGGGCTCCATTTGTGGGTTTATTAGTGAAATGGTTATCGCTGAAGCCCCATCGGATAACAGTAATAGGATTTCACTAGATTAAATCTTAATAATTTCAAAATTTTAGTAAAGTATTGTAGGATCCATCGTTGACAATGCTTGGACACTAAGGATAATTTTGAAATTAAACAATAGTTAATTACATTCAACTTTGGTAAAATTGTTAACCCTCTCATCGAAGCTCTGGCAATGGCACTGAAGGCCCAAATAACAATTTTGGTTTTTACAAGTGACTTGCCCATCATAAGCCTTGTTAAGAAAACTGACAGAATGTTAACAATAAACAAGAGTAGTTATGATAATCTATTTGCACTTCCTTTATTTATTGCATTATTTGTTTGAAATTGTGTGCCTTATATACTTTTCAGAAAATATCTTAGAAATGATTGAGTCAAAAATCTCTAGATGGTACCAACTATGAATAAGTGAAAAGAAAACTTTGATTATGTTTGCTACAAAGGGACAATGAAAGAAAAATTACTAAGAGGTAATGAAAAGAACCAGACATGGGTATGTTAAGGCTTGATTAGTGGATGAATCAATGATTCAAGAACCACTGATTATGTTTGCTACTTTTTGTAGTAGTTCAAACATGGCTTACCTGTCAGCGATAGACAAAGAAATTTTAACTTGAAAATCAGAACTTGTG